GCGGTGCTGAGGATGCAGTCACACTCTTCTCAAAGCGCTCGCTGTTGAAATCTGACGTGGCTGGACGTGACTCCGCCTCTTCCTGTGAACGCACTCCCAGCTAGATTGATTAACCTGTTATTGTGGTTTTGATGGTGATGATGTCATCTTTGTGTCCTCTAGCCCAAACTTCTACATCCTGGACGAGCCGACCAATCACCTGGACATGGAGACCATCGAGGCGCTCGCTAAGGCTCTGAACAAATTCAAGGTGTGTGTGCGTGCGTGCGTGCGTGCGTGCGTGCGTGCGTGCGTGCGTTCTCACCTGTGTGATGTCACGTGTTTCAGGGCGGGGTCATCCTGGTGTCACATGACGAGCGTCTGATCAGGATGGTGTGTAAGGAGCTGTGGGTGTGTGAAGGCGGGAAGGTGCGGCGCATCGACGGCGGGTTCGATGAGTACCGGGACATCCTGCACGAGCAGTTCAAGAAGGAGGGTTACCTGTGACGCTCCACCCACTGCTTACTGACCGTACCCACCACTGACATAACCACGCCCCCTCCATTATGATGTGTCGCAGCAGCTAATCGGCATCTAGAGCGGACCGGAGGACTTTTTCTTCTCTGAACTCTCACCTGCTGCTCAGGTGATCTGCTGCAAGCTGATTGGCTGCGAACTCTGCGGGGAGAGGGGTCACCCAGAGCGGCTCGGCGTTTATTTAACGAGTGAACCTGTCGTCTGTCTGTCGTCTCAGCTGATTGTGTTTTGTATGGCAGCGGTTTCCTGCGAGCTGATGTCACAGTGACATCAGACACAAAACAAATAAAAGAATCATATCACGCCTCCGCCTCTCTCCTTCACTCCGGGGTGGGGTTGTGGTGGGTCGTGGGCGGTATTTAACTGTGCCAGGCAGTACTCAGAGGTGCCACCGGATGGCGCTCAGGAGGAGCAGATCTGCTCTCAGGAGTGAAGTTTTTACACGTTTATCCTAAACGTGGCCGTGCTCACTGCTAACGAAACGCTAGCTAAGCAGTGACAACAAAACATGTCCGCCTGATAAAACCAGTGGTTAAAGCGAGGTGAAAAATGTGATTTGGTATTTTTGTTTTTAAATGGTACTGTGGAAATGTGCTGGGCGGTTACAGATGGCAGAGCTTTATGAGCTGTGTTGAGCTTCACAGCGGTACGACACCCAGAAACCCTCACAGGCACGAGCGATCCAGCGAGCGCGAGCGATGACGCAGAGCTGCCAGGGTTCAGCTGCTTTCTCTCTTTCTGTCTCTCAGACAAACTTCAGCCCTCCGGCTTCAGAGCGCCGAAGAGGGACAGGACAGCAGAGGGAGGGGAAGACCTGCAGCCAACCGCGGGTCGAACTCGAACCTGGGCGCATGTCCAGAAAAAATCTACAGAGTTAAACTGCAGGAATGTCTTAAAGACATAAAGACCTGGATGGCCGCTAACTTTCTGCTTCTTAATTCAGATCAAACTGAGGTTATTGTACTCGGCCCTGAAAAGCTTAGAAATATGGTATCTAA